TTCAACAGAGCCCTCGCCAAAAGTTTTTTTCTACTCTATACAAAGGTTGGTTTGTCCTCAACAGAGCGCTCGCCAAAAGTCTTGTCTTCTCTATACAAAGGTTGATTTCTCCTCAACAGAGCCCGCCCCAACACTTTTATCTACTCTATACAAAGGTTGATTTCTCCTCAACAGAGCCCACCCCAACACTTTTATCTACTCTATATAAAGGTTGGTTTGTCCTCAACAGAGCTCTTGCCAAAAGTCTTGTCTACTCTATATAAAGGTTGGTTTGTCCCCAACAGAGCCCTCCCCAAGCACAAACAAAAATTGAAATCTTTTTTTGCGATCTTTTGAGAGAAAAAAATCTCTGCTTCCTTTATCGGCAAATAGTGTAAAATTTAGTGTGTAAAATAAATTTTAGTGTGTAAAATAAATTTTAGTATGTAAAAGAAAATTTAGAGTGTAAAAGAAAATTTAGAGTGTAAAAATTATCATTCATACCAAACTGATGAATCTCATTCCGAAAACCAGAGATAATGTCACTAAATGAAAAACTTCCATCTCCCGTTTTGATTACTACATGTATTGTTTAACATTTACATTAGCAGTCACTATAGGTACATTCTCCAAAAATTGTGTTCAGCACTTGAATTCATGAATTGTTTTAGGGTGTACAAAAGTACTACCCCTCAAAGGTATAGAGTGTAGATAATAGAAATACAGGTGACAGGGACTGGTTGCTGTCTCTAGTTTTGGATGCACAGGAATGTTAAACACTCTGTTAACTTCAGGAAATTTTCAATTCAGCAGTTAAGAAATTGGCTTAAAATTCAAAATTGAATACAGTACATTTCACCTAATATCACGTCCGTTAATGTCACTTTACGGTTATTATCATGTATCAAGATAAAGGTAAATATTTACCAAGTCTCATGTTTACAATTAAATTTGATGCAATCTAATTAAAATTATATCTTCACATCGCTCCCGTTTACTGATATGTCGCGTTGAAGATCTAACAACATCCCATAGAGGGTCACGTCAGAGGTCAACATGAATGCATTATCGTATTTATAACAAGCCAATCAAAACGCGACACAACTCTTTCTTTCAACCAATCAGAAAGCAGGACCTGTAGCATTTAATGCAGACACCTCGTAGCCCAAAATCCACTTTTTCGTCTGGTCCAGTGATAGTTTGAATATTGCGAAGCCTGTCATTGGTTAATTTTAGTTTCAGGTTGTTAAACTTGTTAACGACAACATCACCAGAAGAGGAAGTCTCTCTTATTTCAAAGCAAAATTCACAAATTTACAAACGTTGTCTTGTACAAAAATGTATAGACACGGCGTGGTGTCACGGGCGCCGCCATTTTCGATGCTCATTTGACATCTCTCGGTCTTTTAGTATAGCAAGTGTGTTCCGAAATCATTACATCATCACTTACAGAAATGCGTAAGCTCTCATCTGATTGGTTAATGCAAAGGTCGCCTGAACATGACCCTCTACGGGATGTTGTTAGATCTTCAACGCGACATATCAGTAAACGGTAGCGATTGAAAATATAATTTTAATTAGATTGAATTTGATGCAGAATACCAGCCAAACACTTGTATGCCTACATCACTACTGCAGTAAACAATCATAATTACGATCGTACTGATCGTCATTTTGCTACTAACTATATATGAAATGTAACTGGATACTGAAATGAAATACAAAGAATATATTTATTTCTATACTTATACTATATTTCAACTAGAGTAAAGAGCAAGGTTAGTTACAAAATATCTTTATTTTACAATCTTCTTCGTAGAGGCACATCACTTAGGCATTTGACTAAGTTCAATTCCGGTTTTGAGGGCTGAAAAACGTCAGAAAATAGGTATTCTGTTTATGTCATATGTTTCTGTTAATATCATGTTTTTCTCTGACAAATGGGAAGTGATATTAAGCGAAATCTACTGTATAAGGTAATGCAAATTTTGCAGTTCAATGGTTCAAATAAATTAAAAGTAAATTCAAATGCGTTTGATGTTATAACAAAAATATAAAAATACCTTTAGAATAAAATGAACTTTTGTTTTACAGGAATGTTGAAGTATTTGAACAACATTTTGACGACATTGACCATGTCTTTAAGGTAAGATTTCTATGTTATAACTGTTCAAAAAAAACCAGTCGTTTTGCATCTGTCTCCTTTGTCAACAGTTCAGATGATCAATAACTTGACCCTATACCGCTGAAACATCTCTCTGAGCCATAATGTGCTGAGTAAAAATCAGTAGTCATAGTAACGACAGTGACCTCGGTTACACATACATCAATATCAAACTCTGTGATACCAGACTAACTGTACACCCAACAACAGAGGAGGGTGAGGACGGGGGTAGTGTAGGGATCTTATGAGTATCAAACTCTGTGATACCAGACTAACTATACACCCAACAACAGAGGAGGGTGGGGACGGGGGTAGTGTAGGGATCTTATGAGTATCAAACTCTGTGATACCAGACTAACTATACACCCAACAACAGAGGAGGGTGGGGACGGGGGTAGTGTAGGGATCTTATGAGTATCAAACTCTGTGATACCAGACTAAC